AAGATGTCGTCTAGAAATACGATGTAAGCTCCACGAGTAAACAATTCAACCCAGAGAACACAATACAATCAAGACCTACATAAATATTTTCTAACATTTTTTAACAGAAATCTCAATAGTGTTGATGCATAATTTCTCAGTATATGCGTATTACTGTAGATCCTGAATAAGAAGTTATCGAAAAGAAATAAAACGTTGTCGTAATCATCCCGAATGTAAGACGAAATATAACGGTAACTAGCTGAGATAGCTGCGGTTCAGTAGACTAGTATTGGTACTGGGTGATAATTGAAGGTGAAATGAAAATTTGAACCGCAGCCGAATTCGAAACAGCGACCAACGGGTTTCCACACCGATTCTCTAACAACTGAGTTACCAGGCTCGACTACTCACCAGATTTATATGATTGAAGTGAAATAAAAATGTGGTAAGCAGTCAGATTTGGTAACTCTGTTGGTAGAGCATCTGTGTGGAAACCTGTTGGTCACTGTTTTGAATCCGATCGCAGTCTAAATTTTCACTTCACCTTCAATTATCACTCAGTGTAAATATTAGTTATCATAAACGACAGATATATTGATAATTATGATAGCCACTATTGAACAAAATAATTTTCTAAGAACCAATATTGTTCTTTGAATGTAGCCTAAAAATAGCTTAATAAAAAATATTAATAGTTAAACGGAGTCACAAAACACTATGTTTGGGTTACCATTGATCTTTATAGGTGATGCGACTAATAACAGTCCTGACTTATTACCAGACTGAAAAATGACAACACAATAAGACTGCAACCGAACTTATAGAAATCTGTCAGGTAGATATATGAAAAGTTAAAGAATATGCGTATGTAGATTTATAGTGTTAACCATTCGAAAGTATCATAGATTAAGCCTTAAATACATCCAATGAGAAGTCAGATTCACATCAAAACTATAGAGGATAGATTTTTGTTTTCAAAAGAAATGATGAGCAATAAACCACTTTTTAAGAGGAAATGCTGTAAAAATACTAGTCACACCTGACAATAAGAGCGTTTTCTGAAAGTTTTATAAAACCAAAAGAAAAGAAATACACATATTCACAGAAATATCCTAATGAAATACAACGACTAGCATCATCATTTTAATATAGCCTTCATTAAAAAAGTTTTCAGTAATACATTATCCACTATAATTTCCGAAAGAAATGTCATACCTAAAACTCCATATATCAGATGTAGAGAGCATCATGACTGAGATAAAACTGAGAATTAAATACCAATTATAGCCGTTTTCGGTCTAAGAAATCCCAAAAAATTAGCATCCCCCTGAAAAATCAACTAAAACTACATGAAATCTAAATGAGTACAGGTATCACTGATACAGGTGATAAAGATATCCAACCAACAACAACAAATTCCAATCACCATGAACGGGAGAAACTTTAGGGATTAACCTCCTTCACCTATCTAGGCAGCACTGTTTCAACTACAGGCGGCGGTGGCAGGATCAGAAAAGAAAGACAGGTGTTCATTAACCTGAATCAAGTGTGGAGATCTTCTACACTCAGCATAAAGCGTGAACAACATCCGGATTTTCAACACCAATGTCATGTCATGTCATGTCAAGTCAGTGCTCCTGTATGATTCACAGACTTCGCGCCTTACGAAATGAATTTCCAACAAACTAAAGATATTCATCAACAACTGCCACCTACGCTGGCTCGTTACTGAACATCACATGAGAAGGCAAGAAAGAATAAGCAACAAGGAACTCTGAATTGGCAACAAACCAACCAACAACCTATCACCCAACAAATATGCAGTGGAAGGAAGTGGAGATGGATTGGATTGGACATACATTGAGAAGACCATTGGGGGCATCACGCGTCAGGCCCTCCAGTGGGACCGAAATGGGAAACTACGAGTTGGACGTCCAAAGGTGACATGGAGGAGATCGTGCGAGGAGGAAATCAGAGCTTGTGGGCTGTTGTGGAGCCGGGTTCAAAAGATTTTAGAGAAGAGAGTGCATTGGAGACGTGCTACTGAAGCCCTATGTTCCTTTAGGAACCGAAGGCACAAATAATAATAATAAAAGGTATCACTACCATTCATTCTTGGCATTTTAACTATCTTTTATAAAGTTATTTCTTTAACAGTACTTGATTCAAAAAAAACTAATAGGTAACTACAACGAAAGTAATTCAACGAGTGAGTTTAAGAAGTTATACATCTCATTTTTTAATTGATGGCTGAAAGAATGAACTCTCACAAATGTTACTTAGTTATGTTTTTTTGCCCCACCAAGTACCAAATTTTAAAAGATATCTTCATAAAACAGAAACTGACTATCCACAGTGAATGATCTGTAGAGAATATAAATCCTAGATAGTTTTGAAATTAAGTTGAAAATAACATCAAACCATTCTGTAATATCTCATCATTTTTAATTGTTAACTCGTAATTCAGTAACAGTACGAGTATCAATTATTTTTCTCGATTACTTTAAGATTATCATTTTAAAACCTTTTAAAAATGTATCCTTCTTCCTATATACTCTAGTATTTCTTCCAGTCAGTTTTTGATAATTTCTGACTAAAGTGTAACTTCAGTGGTTTTTAAAAGTGGAAAGTTAACGAATACCTCCTACTTTTGATAATTACCATTCATAAAAATAATTATTGTCTGAATTGTTACTGATGATTGTTGACGTATTACTGGTATTACAGTTGCATCAGTTAGTATATTTAACCGAAAGATGAAAATGTTCTAATTTGCTTGGTGGTGACTAGTAGTGGAATTCAGAACGTAAAGTTCTTCTTATTTGCGACGTGTCAGATGGATTTACTTGCATCTCAGTGAGTGCTGGTGTTCCTACTCCGACTCAAATCGAGCACCATCACCTCAAATGCAAGAACCAGTGAGATATAAGATTCATCCATTGTGCTGCGAATAGCCGTTATTATTCATTTATACTCAGAGTTTCTGATAGCTATACCGGATCCAATTGAAAAGATGAATATACTTGTTTTCATATAAATTCGTAGATAACAAACCCAATTATCTATATTCTAGTCAAATAAACTACTTACTGTAGCTAACGGAAAAACATTTAAATCTACCAAGAAGAATTTACTGATCACCTAAAAACCTTCCAGTTATCAATGATTGACTGTTGGTTTTTAGATATACAGATAGAGGTTGTTATTTTAGCCAAATCCTTGGTAAGTGATTGATTCATATCATAAGTGCTTATTCGTAGTATGCACTACTACTGAATAAATTAATGTAGTCAGCTGATACAATGCTTCTTCTTTTGATCTTGTTTCAGTTGAGTTTTGAGAGTAGTCGGTGTTTGATCATGATAAGTCAACAGTATAACAAAGTAGGTGATCTAGTCTGGTGTGCATTTACTTAAAGTCATTGAAACTATTTTCCGCCACATACAAGCTACGGTTACAATACACTTTTACTCTGGATAGTATATACATACAGGGAGCTCTAAACAGATACTGTAGACCAATTTGAAACTGCTACCCAAGAAAGCCAAGCCAACGAATTCAAGCAGTATGAAAAGCTCTGTATAACTGAAACTTTCTCTACCAGCCTATAGATTATAGTTTTTTTAAATAACTTTGTAAAGTAATGATATTTCAGGGGAATAAAGTAGAAAGTGAAGACGTTTGACCGTAAAACTCAGTCATTTCTAAAAGAAGTGATCTTGTTAAACTTAAATGTTGTATTTTAATCTAATCGAAGCCGCTTAATAGTTTATTTCAGCAAGACGCTCCAGTTCTTACAACGTTGAGGAATTTCAAAATATTCCAAGACATTTCTGTAACTCAGCATGTGACGAAAACACTTCAAAAATGATAATTTTCCATAAAGTTCACCTTCTAGAAGACAACTGACCCCGCCAAATGAGCAGTTTCCCCACAGGTAGACTAGTCATACCAGACTATAACTGCGGGAGAGGGTATCACCTAGATACAAGTTACACTAACGACATTACGAAATGATTCATTACCAAACATACTTTATCCATGGATCAGCTTATACTGCTTTGTATGTATTTATATCAGCCTAGTCACGCTCGACAATTTTTTATAACTAAAAAGAAATACTGAGTGATAATTGAAGGTGAAGTGAAAATTTAGACTGCGATCGGATTCAAAACAGTGACCAACAGGTTTCCACACAGATGCTCTACCAACAGAGTTACCAAATCTGACTGCTTACCACATTTTTATTTCACTTCAATCAATATAAATCTGGTGAGTAGTCGAGCCTGGTAACTCAGTTGTTAGAGAATCGGTGTGGAAACCCGTTGGTCGCTGTTTCGAATTCGGCCGCCGTTCAAGTTTTCATTTCACCTTCAATTATCACCCAGTACTAATACTAGTCTACTGAACCACAGCTATCACAGATAGTCAAGATGATAAAAAGAACTAGGTGGAAATGCAGTATAGTTAGACGTTTAAATTCTACTTTACTCAATCACATTTTCTGTTATCATCTTTTTGTCTACGAATAATAAATAACGGGTGGAACTTTTATCTCATTGTAAATCTTCTTTTGAACTAGTGTATCTTAAAAAGAAATTTCTGAATTTAATTGACATACATATAAAATTAGGTAGGGTATGCTATTTTAACAAGGTGAAGTAAAAATGTTCAACTCTCAAGTGAATCAAAATGTCTACAAACAGGATCAATAATGTTTATGATAAGAAAGTTAAAATATATACGCAGCAGGAATTATATTGTTTCCTTAAGAAACAAAGTGTATTACACACTATTAAATTTATTCTAAAATGACTTGACTGATAGTGTTAATAAAGTCAGTTTAAATTCATGTAAAACTACTCAAACTGGGTGTTGACATACTCTTATGTTAGCTGAATGAATCAGTTAACATTGAAGTATTTATCATATTTCAAACCAGTTTTCAATGCACATTGACATCGGATAAAGAACGTTTCTTCCAAGCTTGAGATTTCATATCAGTTCACAACTACTACTACCTCACATGTGATGAAACTCAGAACCATCAAGTTTTTGAGTTGAAATCTCATGATTCCCACTTCTAAACTTCCATATATCCAAGATATTGAGCGACCTGTACTTCATGTCAGTAGTGATTACCCATCAAAAGATTCAACTTGTTTGACTTCATAGGCAATGACTTTTATTATGACTTGGAAACATACATTCAAAATCTAGTCACTAACGAGAAATGAATGTCTACTTGACTTAGAAAAGTGTTCAAATCAGTCAAATCCCTATCAACTAAAATGTCATAAGAAGTGTAATTTATAGCACCAGCGTTTTTATTCGTACCTAACACCACACATATATAAATACACTTATGCCTTTTCATAAGAATTTTTAGCAACCATATCGAATCAAAAGTTTCGTGAATGAAAACAATTAATGCTTAAATAATTCCCACTAGTTGAAGATACAGAAAACGCCAATGACAAAAAAGATATTGTATGTTTCTTATTAGTAGGGTAAATCAAATATCAATTATTCTATAATGATATAAAACCAGTGTGGAGATCTTCTACACTCAGCATAAACCGTGAACAACATCCGGATTTTCAACATCAACGTCAAATCACTGCTCCTGTATGGTTCACAGACTTCGCGCCTTACGAAATGCATCTCCAACACACTAAAGATACTCGTCAACAACTGCCACCTACGCTGGCTCGTTACTGAACATCACATGACCAGAATAGTAAGAATAAGCAACAAGGAACTCTGAATTGGCAACAAACCAACCAACAACCTATCACCTAACAAATATGCAGAACAAAGTGGAGATGGATTGGATTGGACATACATTGAGAAGGCCGACTGGGGGACATCACTCACCAGGTCAGTTGCTCCAGTGGAACCCAGATGGGAAACTACGAGTTGGGCGTCAGAGGTGAGGGTGACACTGAGGAGATCGTGAGAGGAGGAAATCAGAGCTTGTAGGCTGTTGTGGAGCCAGGTTCAAAAGATTTCAGAGAAGAGAGTGCATTGGAGACGTGCTACTGAAGCCCTATGTTCCTTTAGGAACCGAAGGCACAAATAATAAATAAAATAATGATATATAAGTTCTGAAGATGCAGTGAAATAAGTAATATTTTTTGAAATGTAAGGTTAAGAAATTAGGTTGAATCTTATGAAGAGAGTTTTGAAGAAGTACTTTCACATTGATTCGCACTTTCCAATGTACTCACATTGATCCCTTAAATATCGTGTGCTACTAGACACTAATCGGAATCTTTAAAACTTGCTATATTTCCTAAACTAACTAGGTCGAACAGTTGACAAAATATTTCGGAACATTTTTACTGAACAGTTAATCAGAGATAATAATTTTGAGTGGTTAATACGATAGTTCAACATTTAGGTTGATGAAGGTTAATATTCATGAAACCTACAAAATAGTACATACGGCTACCATTAATCATTATTACTATTATTATTATTAGTCCTAAGGGTTCCTTATGGAACATAGGGCTTCAGTACCACGTCTCCAGTGAATTCTGTTCTGTGAAATCTTTTGAACCTGGCTTCACGACAGCCCACAAACTCTCATTTCCCCCTCACACGATCTCCTCCATGTCACCCTAACCTCGGACAACCAACTCGTAGTTTCCCATGGGCATTCCACTCGAGGGCCTGACGCGTGCTGTCCCCAGTTGGCCTTCTCACTGTATGCCCAATCAAATCCATCTCCACTTCCTCCCACTGCATATTTGTTGAGTGATAGGTTCTTGGTTGGTTCGTTCCCAGACCTTCTTGTTGCTTATTCTTTCTGGCCATCTGAGCCTCAGTAACGAGCCAGTGTAGGTGGCAGTTGTCGATGAATTTCTGTAGTTTATTGGAAATTCCTTTCGTAACGCGCCAAGTCTCTCAACCATACAGAAGCACTGACTTGACTGAGATTGGTGTTGAAAATCCGGATGTTGTTCACACTTTATGCTGAGTGCAGTGCAGAAGATCTCCACACTGGTTTCAGGCTAATGAAAGCCTGTCTTCCTTTTCCGATCCTGGCTGGCTTTGACATCCTCGTCTGTGCCTGTGCCGCCTGTAGTTGAAACAGTGCTGCCTAGATAGGTGAAGGAGGTTACTTACTTTAAGTTTCTCCTGTTCATGGTGACTGGAGCTTGTTGTTGTTGTTGGAGTTGTTGGTGCGGTATCTTCATCACCCCCGTCTTCTCCATATTCACTTGAAGTCCCGTCTTCGCTACCTTGCCCAGTCTCTTCTGTCAACTTGTTAGTTTTCGCCTGTAGATCTTCAAGTTTGTGTGACATCAGGCACAAGTCATCAACTAAATCAAAATCTTCTAGGTTCTTTTCCGCAGTCCAGCTAGCGTACCCCTTTCTTCTCGCTCCTCACTGTTGTCTGCTGCACGATCCAGTCAACCACAATCAGGAAGATCATGAGTGATAGTAGGCAACATTGTTTCAATTATGTCTTCACTTCAAAAGCCTCACTGAGCTGAGTTGTCCATTGTGAATTAGTTGGCCGGCATGTGGAGTCTTCACATAGTTGTTGAATGAGGTGGATAAAGGTTTGCGGTATTCCGTAGTATTGAGGCAGTTTCCAAATTATCTCTCGGTCGACGCTGTTAAAGGCCTTCTCAAAGTCGATAAAGTTGAGGTAGAGAGTTGACTGCTATTCTATACTCTGTTCTATGATGATGCGGAGTGTGGCGTTGCAATTTGGTCCACACATGATTTGTACTTCCTGATGCCAGTCTGCCTGTCTGTTCCGGTCGTAGTTTTGAAACTAGCACATCCTTTAGCCTCTCCAGGATGATGCGGCTTAATATTTTGCTTGTTTTGGATGGACAGGATCATGATTTCTCACCAGTTCTTGCAAACACTGAGTGCCCCCTTCTTCTGCAGTTTCACAAGGTAACCCTCCTTCCAATCAATGGGCAGGTACCTTCCCCTCCTTCCACACCTTCTGCAGTAGTGGTGTGGTGTGGTGTGAGCATGCCGGCTGTTGTCTCTGCATCTGTTTTCAGTGCTTCTGGTGGGATCCCATCTGGTCCTGCTGCTTTCCCACATTTCAGTAGCTTTATGGAGTTTAGGACTTCCACCTTTTTGTTGGAGGATTTATGTTCACTTGTAGTTCTGTGGCTGGGCTGCAGGTGGTATTTCTGGACGAAGTGCAGGTGATGGTGGTGGTGATGGTGGTCGATTCAAGAGCTTCTTGAAGTGGTCGGCCCATCGTTTCCTTTGTTTCTATTCTTCCGTAATTAAATTTCCGTCATCAGCTTTTGTTGGTTTCGTCTGCGTTGATCTCTTCTCTACTAGATGGCAACCTGGTTATTTGATACAACGTTGTCAGATCTCTCTCTATCCCTCCTACCTGCAGCCTGTCTGTTCTGTTTCACTTGCCAGTGTTTCGTAGAAGTGTCTTTTGTCTTTCCTTGGCACTCTTCTTCACTTCTTTGTCCAGTGTAGTGTTTTATACATTGTACTCAGTTCCTCTTGTCGTTGAGCATCCTTGCACTGGTTTATCTTCTGCTTCACCATCCTCCTCTCCCTGCTCTATCAACTTCCATGTATCCGTCGAGATCCATTCCTTGTCTTCTTCTTCCTTCCTAATACGGCTGTGCAGGTTTCTTTCCAGATAGATTTCAACGACTTCCAGTGTTCTTCCACACAGGTTTACGGCTACCATGCGAAAGAAAATTTTGCAAATAGGTCTGTGTGGAAAAAAACATTTTTTTAAAAAGAATGTATGGACATACATTTTCTCATACTCTGAATATGAATGAACTATGCTTAAACATCAGTACCAGAAGTCTTGTCATCTAAATAAATGTAATATATAATGATAGACGAAAATAAAACCTGAACTAAGGAGGAGTTTTTTTGACATATGCCTTACATTTGCTTCAAAGGCGTATACTTTCCTTAAAGACATTCATTCCATATGGTAATGCTGACCTCAATAAATAACTTATAAACAATGGGTAGAAAATTAGTATTTTAGGTCACTAAATACATGACACCTTAAGGTAATACTTGGTTAACTTGTAAGTATTAAAAAGTTTTTCCTTCTGAAATTTCATCACAGTGCATGTCTTTCTGCTTACTTTAGCTTTTTCCTAATTGAATGCCTCTTAAATGAATTTAGATGTATAAAAGTCAGTCAGGCAGCATCAACGCTGAGTAACAGTTAGAGTTGTTACGGTTAATATCACTGGATAGGGGTAATGATGGTAAAGAATGTATTTGCTGTATATATCTGTAAATTGACGAGTGAGCACCAGTCAGTGAAAAAGGTCATTCATTTAGTTGCATTCATCTTGGTGACTAGCACTGGAATCTAGGACACCTGTTTCGTCCTTTTTGGGACTCGTCAGTTGAATGTACCTACACCCCAGTGGATATTGCTCCCACTGTTCACTCATATAGAACAGAAGAACAAGTGCAAAAGTACAAGTATTTCATCGTTAGTTCATCTTCCATTACAATCATAAGCTTAGATACAACGACTGGAATCAAATCCCCATCGTTTCGAAACTTCTGAAGGAAAATAAACTCATAAGAAGTGTTCGATGATCAGTAGACTGACTGGAAATTTACAAAAATTTGGATGAAATGAAAACAACACATTTTCCTCATTGTCCGGCTCAATTTCTATAAAAAGATGATAAAAATCACTAGTATCAGGTTAATATTGTTTTTCATGCATCCATACGTAGTTCTGAAGCGATGCAAGGAACAATTTAAAACTTTGACAGACAGTCCCGCCGGTTGCCACCAACAAACTAACATCTACTAATGTGCACCACAATGCTCACCTTCCTAGCTTGGTTGCCACATTGCAAATACGATCGATTTAATTCAGTCTGAACTCAGGACTAGACAACATGAAATTGGTTGCACTCCTGTGACCGATCAATACAGCTATGGAAGTATTCAACTATGACTCAAAACTGACACCGGCCTGAAACACTATCCAATTGTGGTAATTACTTGTCTGATAGAATGATAGCAACTA